ACTCGGAAGGCTGAGGCGGAAGGATCGCCGGAGCCCAGCAGGCGAGGCTGCGGTGGTTGGAGTCTCACTCAGTCTGAGCGACAGAGTGAGACTCCAACTCAAAAAAAAAAAAAAAGAAAATAGATATGGCCTAAGAAAGATAGGATCTAGGCCCCACATCTTGGCAGTATGAGGAACACAGGGGGAAGCGGCACAGAGATACATATAAAGGCATAGCAAGCCAAAGCACGTGTTTCGAGTAGAGCTTGAAAGGGTTGAGAAGGAATTGAAACTGGACACGAGAGGCCAAGTGGAAGGGGTACAGTAGGGTCTCTTCCCTAGCACCTTTGTGCAGTAAGGACTTGGATATCAAACAGCCCCACCCAGCGGCTGCATGTTGAATAAATTCTCCAGAAGTTCAATAAAATTTTAGAAGAGAAGGGAGGAACTCAAGAAAGAACCATGCTAATGAAAGGCTTAAAATAAGCCGGGCTTGGTGGCTCAGCCGGTAATCCCAGCACTTTGGGAGGCTGAGGTGAATGGATTGCCTGAGCCTGGGCAACTTGGCAAGACCTCATCTCTCCAATAAATCAAAAAAAATTAGCCGGGTGTGGTGGCGCGCGCCTGTAATTCCAGCTACCTGGAAAGCTGAGGTGGAAGGATTGCCAGAGCCCAGCAGGTTGAGGCTGGGGTGGCCGGGAGCGTGCCACTGCACTCCAGTCTGAGTGACAGAGTGAGACTCCAACTCAAAACAAAAAGGCTTAAAATACAAAATGGAAATTCAGTTACAAAATGTAAGGTTATATGTTTTACACATCTAAACTTATAGACTCAAGATTGGCTATATTTGCTATGTCATAAAGTTAAAGATGCCAACGAGGTTAAGAATCAGGAGGACAATATGAAAAGCAGCATATCTCCTGGAATGCTTGGAGAAAAGCAATTCAGGAAAATCTTAAAACTCATTGAAAGAAAAATTCAAAATTTGTTCATGATTCTTAAGGGAAAAGTAGTCTATATTAAAAATCGTAGGACAATCACCAGAGCCCAGCAGGTCGAGGCTGCGGTGGCCGGGAGCGTCCACTGTACTCCAGTCTGGGTGACAGAGTGAGACTCCAACTCAAAAAACAAAAAATCGTAGGACAAATGTATGCTATATCACTATTGAATATACCTGATACAGAGTTTCTTATACGTTTTCCTTAAAACGCTTTTATTTAAATAATGGTGCATCTTATAAATGATGGCATGTTCAGGATTTTCAACTGTCAAAATCTTACCCATCGGCAGCCAAAATGTTCAACAAGAAGGGATTTATTACATAAATTGTGCTACATCTATATAATGGAATGCATTACTTATACATGGTCTCATAGAAGAATGTTTAATGATATGAGAATGTACTAAAGCTAATTACATTTTTTTTTTTTGAGTTGGAATCTCACTCGGTCGCCCAGACTGGAGTGCAGTGGCCGCTCCCGGCCACCGCAGCCTCTCCTGCTGGGCTCCAGTGATCCTTCCGCCTCAGCCTTCTGAGTAGCTGGAATTACAGGCGTGCGCTACCACACCCGGCTGATTCTTTGATTTATTGTAGAGATGAGTTCTCGCTGCCCAGGCATGTCTTGAACCCGAGGGCTCAGGCAATCCACTCACCTCAGCCTCCCAAAGGCACGTGATTGCAGGCTGAGTCACCGAGACCAACTGGGATTTCTTTTATTGAGGAGGGACAGTCACTGGGGCAACATCACACAGGACGGTCAGTCATGAGGTTACCCATTACAAATGAGGAATTTTCACTGAGGGATCCATTATTGAGGAGGTCCATGAAGTGCAACAATCATTACAGAGGAGGGATAGACTATGGGGCCACCATTATGGAGGAGAGTCAGACATTGAAGTGCCAATTACTGAGGAGGTTCAGTCACTAAAGATCCCATAATAAAGGAGGACGAGTTACTGTGACTTCCATTGTGAAGTATTATCTTTTTGTATTCTATGCCCTGGTTTTGGGCTTTTATTTGGTGATCTGGATTATTCTACTGAAGTTAGGGTTTTTGATGATCTTCCTTTTCTAGGTTCCTTAGGTGACTTGCTAGGCTATTAACTTGTAATCTTTCCATTTTCTTCATGTGCATTTGTA